GATATGACATCGATCACACTAGCAATACACACATACATACATTCACACATACACACACATACACAAACAAACAAGAAAACGTACAGACACACGTGTTTTGCATTTGCCCGTATGTTTTTAATTATCGACAAAACATGTTGTATCTAGATACATACATACATAAATACATACACACATACATACAAATACACAAACATACATACACACATACATACAAATACACAAACATACATACACACGCACACGTATACATACTTATACATACAGAGACAGAAAAACATACAAAATTAATGAGTTACTTGTGTAACTAAATCTGAACCTCTGGTACTCAAGACCAACATGAAAGGCTTGGCGTTCCCTTTATTAAGTAACTTGTTATAATTGGAAAAATATAGATTTTTGCGTCTGTTGTTGATATTATTGAACGGCCAAGTGGTGCAATGGTCAAAGTGCCCGGTTCTATTGTTGCAGTGGCCTGGTTTGAATGCAAGAAGAACCCTTTCTATAACATGCAACATGTGTGTGAAGCGTTAATTTATTCGTGTTTGCATGCACTGTGGTTGCATGATTTTGAGGTCTCTTAGAATTAATTAAGATGAAAATTAATAAAAGTAACAAACAACTTCGATATTTTCCACAACTACTGCATTAATAGCAACAAAATTATGACGAAAAACAACTACAACGACATATTTTTACAACTCTCCCAACAATATTATAAATATACGTTTTAAAAAATTGAACTATAGTGAGTGTTCAGTTCACAACAACATTAAGATCCTACATTTAAAAAATTGAACTATAGTGAGTTTTCAGTTCACAACAACATGAAGATCATACATTTAAAAAATTGAACAGAGTTATACATGAAAATGACTATCCAATAGATTCATGTGACTACAATATATCAAAAAACCTCATGAACTGAATTTAATAACAGACTAGCAGCTTAATTCATTATGTCAGCATCACACTTCCAAAAATAATCGAAGTTCGTAATGGGAATTTTATTCGTGTTTGAAAGCGAAAAATGATGACGAATACTTCTATCTCAGATCCATCACTGAATGACTTGAAGGCTGTTTCTAAAAGTGGATTTCAGTTGATCAAATTTTAAATCATCTTCAATCATCTAGCGAATTAATTTTAATTCTAGCGTTTCAATTTGATATGTTCAATTAATTATTTTACCAATTAATTAACAAACAAATGAAGAAATGTATGAAGAAAACAATTAATTTGCGAGATGGTGTAATGGCTAAAGGGCCTGGTCCTGGTGCCGCACTGCCAGGGTTCGATGACAAAGAGAGCCCCACCTATCATTTACAATGTGTGATACCGCAAATTCAGAAGTATTCCTCTCACATGCGCTCTGTCTGTCTACGTGTGTGTGTGTGTGTGTTTGTGTGTGTGTATGTGTGTGTGTAACTAACAAAGATGTATTTTTGTATTGGTGTATTGGTCCATTAAATAAATAAAGGCCATTTTGATATTACACACACACACATATATACGCAAACTCACGTACATACACACACACAATCACACATACGTATACACACAAACACACACATGCATACACTCACAATGCATTGGTATTAATTTAGGTAATAGCATAGCTAACTAATCGTCTGGCTGTTATTGTTTTGTTCATAACGCAATGAACACTAATGTTAGTTAATATTAAATTTTATCTTTTATCCAATGTTTATTGCATGCATATATGTATGCATGCATGTATGTAATATTCACATGATAATATTTTGTGTTGATCTTGTTTTTGTTAGTGTTATTGATGTTGTCGTTGTAGATGTTGTTAGAGCTGTTATTGTTGTTGTTGTAGATGTTGTTGTTGTTATTAAATATGTCGTAGCTACCATTAACAACAACTTTTAACGAATTTCCTCACATTACAGATTTGTTTACTCCAAATTATAACATAACATCAGCAGTCGTCAACACGTCGACATTTTAATTTCAACAAAAGACATCATAGTACCATGATCACATTAACATTCCAGCTACATAAATTACATTAGCAACGAAAAACGTTCCCAACATTAAGTCATCCATTCATACCACAGCATCAACAACAGCAGCAAAGCCTGATGTGACATTGTTACATTAACAAATCATCCCATAACAAGTACATTGTATTACCGCTTTAAAAACTTTCCTCCATACACTATACTACTACACAACAAACACCACACATACATACAAACATACACACACACGCACACACACACACAACACACACAAACAAACACACTAAATTATACAAAACGAGACAAATTATGTTTGGTGAATTTACTTTTTTCTTTCAAAATCTGAGAAAAAACTGAAATTAATAATTAAAACACCGTTCTGCTTACTTAAGTCAAGTTACACAACGTATTTGACGATAAGATCGAACTTTCTACATCTACACGCTGTTAATCTCTGTGGTCTTATAAAATTTTTATTATTTTTATATAATTTCTATTATTATTATTATTAT